GTTGGGGGCATGGCGTGGCTGTGGGGCCAAGGGAGGCATGGTTGGGCAATGGGGCCAAATGAGGCACAGCCGGGCCAAGGGGGACACAGCAGGTCTATGGGGTGGAAGGGGGCAGAGCTGGGCCAAGAGGGATGCGGCATGGCTGTGGGGACGTGGCGTATCCGTGGGACGTGATGGTACACGCCATGGGGATGAGGAGACATGGCATAGCTATGGGGCCAAGGGGACATGGCGTAGCCGCAGAGGGCAAGGGTGCCTAGGGTGGCCGTGGGGCAGCTGTGGGCATGGCGCGGACATCAGGCCCCCCAGCGATGTAGGGCTGCCCCCAGTTGTCCCCCCTCGCCCACGGACATCTTCCAACCACCTTCCACCAGGCTGGGGGGGAGGGGAGGTGTTCCCCAAGCACGCCAGCCAATCAGACAGCTGGGGGCTGCTGACATCAGGAGTAGCCAGGCAGACGGGCCGCTGGCGAGGCTGGATCCTGCAGCAGCGGTGCCAGCCCAAGGCTCCCTTGGGTGCTGCCGTCAGGCCTTTCCTGCTGCATCCCCGGGGCAAGGCAGCTTCTGAAGCAGCTCTGCTGGGAGAGAGAGCCGAACCGGAGAGAGTTTGAAAGTGCATCAGAAAGTCTGCCCCAAAGTGCTATTTTTACCTCTCTTATTTTCTGGAGAAAAAAAGCATCCATCAGTTCTGATTAATAGAACAGGCAAATCGAATGAGCCCACAGGACATGCTAGTCAAAAAAATCTTTGCACAGAAGAAGAAAAGAGCAAGAGAAAGAGAGTCAGATTGCATGGACAGGGAGTAGGAGGGGACCGTACGTAAATGGGGTTTTCCCATTGCTCTGGCATCAGGTGCTTCTGAGGCACTGCCAAGCTCTGCTCCTGCCACCTGTGGGGCTGTGTACACCCCACCCAAGCCAACGGATCTGTTCCCCCACCTCTGCCAGGTTGAATTTGGCTCCTGAGAGTCCGACATTTCCTCCTTCTGTTTGCATTTCTTTGGCACCTGTTTGCAATTTGCAGTCTTGCTAAACTCATTCCTTGCCAGCAAGGTCAAAGACCCTGCCCGCCCCCTGCGTGGCCAGCCCTGCTCAGGTGCTTGGGACCTTGCCCGCTGCCGGCGGACCATGAAGGAGTGCCAAGTCTGCCTTGGCACCCGCATGCTTCGCTGGCCAGGTACCTACTTTGCCCTCACACAGCCGCGGGACCTCTTTTGCCTGAGTTTTGCTTTGGACAGCAGTGAGTGCCTCACTCATGCACCTTGTCTTTACTTTTTAAAAGTATGTACAATCTGACATCTCTTGGGATATGTCCTCTGCCCGTGGGGACCCACGATCTTTCCCAGCCAGTTGTGTCCTCTGCTGAGGGGCTCCAGCAAAAGGGGGGTGCCCCAGCCGGGCTGCTGTCCCCACAGCCATGTGACATGCCCCGAAAACTTCTCGCAGTGCTCTGGCACTCAGCCCATGGCCACTGCTGTGCCCCTGTGCCCACGCGCTTCTGGCTGCCCCCTTTGTGCGTGACCCACCTACGCCAAGCAGGTTTCAGTTCCCCTAAATGTGCAGAAGTAACCTTAACATTGAAATTTCACTTCTGCATACTGCCGGCAGCCAGTGCCTGCTCTGCCACTGGCCTGCCAAAGTTGGCTGCGCTTGAAAAGTACCTTTGTTTGGCTGCAGAGTTGATGGAGGTTATTTAGGGTGGTCCATAGGCTAGCAGGAGGATTTTGAGGGGCAGAGATTGAAGAGCACAAGTGTGTTTCCTATAGCCTGTGGTGCAGCCTCCTCAGGGTGTTAATTAGAAATCCCCATACTTGGATTCCTGACATAAAGGTTGGGCAAAGCACCAGGAACGCAGCTCCCACACCTCTACCTCCGCACCCTTGCAGCGGGGTTTTGTGAACATTTCCAGCTTCCAGAAGTAGAGCAGAGCATGAGCTGAGCTCCCTCCCTCATGTCTTGCAGATCTGCGTTGGGCCGCAAAGCCGCCTTCTCCGCGCTCTCCATCCTCGTGGCCCTGCTGATCGCTGGCCAGGCCGTGACTGTCTACTTTGTCTACCAGCAGAGCGGGCAGATCAGCAAGCTGACCAAGACCTCGCAGACCCTGCAGTTGGAGTCGCTGCAGAGGAAGCTGCCCCCAAGTCAGTAGCTCATGTGGTGGCCAGAGAAATGTGACAGGTCTTGCTTGACCACCAAAACCAAGTGTGGCAGAGGGGAGATATCTAGGAGTGGGCCTGGCTTTTGAGGTGGTGGCAGCTCCCCGGGACTGTCAGGGACATTCCCCCGGTGGAGCTGGGTCTTGCAGGACACAACTGTGCAGGGAGAGATTCGGGAGAGAGGGGGATGGTCCCTTTTCTTGGTGCCCCTCACAGCGCTCCTTCCTCGGCAGGTGCCAAGCCCATGAACAAGATGCGGATGGCCATGGTGAACATGCCGCTGGCCATGAGGGACCTGCCACTTGCCCCCTCCTCAGACAGGATGGTAAGAGGCACCCACCCTTGCCTTGCACAGGCTGCTGCTGCCTCACGGCCTCCTGGCTTGCTGCCAGGTCTTGGGCTGACTCTTCCCATTTGAATTTTCTCTTTAGCCCATGGAGATCATGGGGCCCGTCAGCAACAAAACGGAGGACCAAGTCAAGCACCTGCTGCTGGTAAGGTCCCCATGTGTCCCCTGGTGTGCAGGCACTACTGGAGCGTGCCACCTCCCACACCTACCCTCTGCCCTGCTGGAGGTGGTGGGACCCCATGCTTTGAGCTGTCTCTTGGCTGGATCGTTGTCATCGGGTGTTCCCCTCCTGCACCCTCAGGGTCTCAGAGCTGATGGGAGCTCCTGGAGCCCTGTAATGTCACTCTGGTTGATGTAGACAAGAGCTCCATCTCATCTCTCCCTTTTTCTTTGCCCTATCTTGCTCTGGTGGTCACCTCTGCAGCAAGCAGACCCAAGGAAGATGTTCCCAGAGCTGAAGGACGACCTGATGGACAACCTGAAGCACCTGAAGAAGTCCATGGCTGATGCGGATTGGAAGGTCAGTGCGGGGCTGCTGTCCTGCCCTGCCCCTTCCAGAAGCTCCCTGCTTTGCCCCTGGGAGGGACTGCCATTTCTCTACCTGGAAATGGAAAATCCTTATTGCTCCAGGCTTGCATTTCTCCCACCCTGAGGGAGGTGATGTGCATGTGGCTGTCGCTGCTCTGAGCTGGAGCCTGCAGCAGAGCGCCCGTCCCCATCGTGCACGCTCCTTTCTCCTGGTTACCCTGTGCTGTTTCCCCTTGTTGCAGTCCTTTGAATCCTGGATGCACAAGTGGCTGCTGTTTGAACTGGCCAAAAACCCCCAGAAGGACGAGCAGAAGGCAATCCCAGCGGAGAAAGGTATCAACAGATGGGGGCTACTAAATTAAGGGATTGTTAGGACTAGCCCTTCAGTAGCCATCACATCCCAAGAGGGGACAGCATGAGAGCACCCTGAAGGCAACTGAGGCTCTGGCCCAGCAGCTAAGGACCTCTTCCTTCCTTGGTGTCCAGCCAGGAGCATCCATCCGGAGCTGTTAGGATGCTCCTAGGGCAGGGCTTGGTGGCTGTTCAAAGGTGAGGGCATGGATCTAGGGCAGCAGCTGGGGCACTGCCAGGCTGGAGGGAGGAGGTCAGGCGACTGCTCTTCCCGGCTGTGAGGATTTCCACTCGCGCAGAGGTATTGAAACGCCAGTTTTAACAGGAAGGCTGACAGCCATGCCAGTCTTCAGCCCCTTTGCTGCCTCTAATATGCACCGATAAAGCCAAACTCATAGGGAAAGGCACAGCCCTTGGGGCTTTGCCGAGGAGCTGCTTGTTTGTTGGACTGAGGCTGAAGTCGACCAGGATTTCCCGAAGAAAAACCCACAGTCCCAAGAAAGGGTCGGCCACAGAGACGCTGCCTGTTGTTTGCCAGCAGACACGGAGTGTTGGAAAAGAGTGAACGTCTGGAAAGACAGACCACCACTTCAAATCCTGTATCTTTGGTTAGAGAGAGAGCTTTAAAAAATCCTCGGGGTGGGGTTTGTTCTTCCTCCTTTTAAATTTTATTTAGCTGCTTCGTGATAAAAGCTCAGTGCTCAGAACTTCACACCGATTTGTTCCCCAGCCCCAGTCAGACCAATCCTCCTTAGCAAAATTCACGTTGATGTGGTCTCCCTTAAGTAGCGTCATCAGAGTTACCATAACGCTATCATTAGGGTAAACGAGTTTCACAGGAGAATTCCCAATAAGGCAGTTCTCCCAATTAAGTTAGGATTTTGTTTGTTTCCAAAATCAAGCATTTTGCAGTTGCTTCCCTGCTGGAGTAGTGTCAAGGGGCTGGCCCGGGGTTTCTGAAACGCTGTTGGGCGATGTCAGCCCTTGGCCAGTTGTTGGCCAGACCATCCTCTGGACTGAGCAATGCTCTAAGGCCCCTGGGTAGTAGACAGCCCGAGGTGCTCATGGTATATCCTGTTTGTTTTTATTGCCCTAGTGCAAACTAAGTGCCAGGTGGAGGCCAATTTTGGTGGTGTCCATCCGGGTCGCTTCCGCCCCCAGTGCGATGAGAACGGAGACTACCTTCCAAGGCAGTGCAATGCCAGCACGGGCTACTGCTGGTGCTCCTACAAAAATGGCACCAGGATTGAGGGCACTGAGACTCGGGAAAAGCTGGATTGCCCTGGTAGGTTGCCAGGGTGGGGAAGGAGGAGAGGAACAAAGCAGCATCTCCAGTCACCGTCCCTAGTTTCTCCTGAGCTGAGAGAGGAGCAGAACCAGCCAGGAGCTGAGAGGGTGTCCAGCATCACTGGAGAGCTGCTCAGTGCCTTGCAGGATCAGGCAGTGCCCCATTAGGGAGAGCCCAGGAGCCTCAGGGTGAGGTGGCATAGGTGACCAGCGAAGGAAGAGGTTCCTAGAGGCAGCCTCACTCTGCCACCTTTACACCTATGGAGCCCACCCCGAGGACATGCTGTGGGGACTGGCCCTTCCCTGCCCCCTCAGCAGCCCCACACCATGCAGTGTCATTGCGTTACAGCCACTCTCTCTGGAGGGGATCCTGAAAAAACACAGGAACAGGAGCCTCAGCCGGTGCCTAGTCACAGCTGAAACTAAGGCCCTGAGTCCTGCCCCTCCCATCTCTGGTTTGAGGTCTGAGGCTATCTGAAGTCCCAATGAAGCCCCTCAAAACAGGGTGCAGAAAGGCCCCAGCTTTTACAAGCAGGGGAAACCACTAAAGAGAGCCCTTGCCTCTGTCTCCTACTGCACTGCTCAACCTGCCCTAAGCAGCCCTCAGTGCACACTCGATCCCACCGTGTTAGCATTCGGCTGAGTTCAAGCCACAGTTCACGTCTTGGCCGTGCTGGCAAGGGCACCCTCAAAGGGCAGCAGGGCCCATTGTGGTGACTGCAGTAGCAGTGATACAGGCCACCAGTGTGGTGGCAGCAGAGAGGGTGGCATGGGACAGCATGCCTGCGCTGTCCCACCACTGAGGTGCTTCACGTCCCTTGCAGCCACTCCCAGAGCCTTGGAGCCAGAGGAGATGATCTTCTCCGGGGTGGATGTTCTCAAGCTGGATGCGGAGAAAGGTGAGTGGCTCAGCACAGTCACAGTGCTGGGGCGGCTGCCTGTAAGTTGGTTGCCCAGGTCCAGGGCAGGGTGGCATTAGCTCAGCAGGCTGGGAAGAAACTCCTGGGTTTTTGGGGGGCAGAGGGGATGCTTGGAGCTATAATACAGCTCTAATCCCCCGAAGCACCCCTGCCTCAGCAGCACCACAGCAGTGCCAAGCAGGGGCCAGCAGCGAGACAAGGGCTGCCAGGTCCATGCAACACCTGGGACATGTCCCAGGTGCTGCAATGCAGAACTAGCCCTGGGCTGGGTCTGGCCAAGGACCAGCAGGGAGAACACTGGTGCTGCACTGCAAGGCCAGGAAGCGAGCACGGTCTCTGCCACGCACCCTGAGCAGCAGCAATGCCTGGTGGCCACAGCCAGGCAGCACCGTAGGGACCAGGGCAGTTCCTGCT